CCCCCCCCCCCAACCCCCGCCCCGGCATGGTGGCATGTGTTTGTGTATGTGTGTATAGTTTCTGTGGATGGAGAGGCATTGGCAAATAAAAGTCTGAGAAAATGTTAAGCACCTATATTAATGGGTTCTACCGTTTCTGAGGGGAAGAGCTAAACACATGAGAAGATTTCTTCTGCATTGATCCTTCTAGGAAATTACTGATTTACTCATTGAGTAATATTTCTACATGGACTTTTTATAAATCTTAACGTGATTATTAAGTACCAAGTATGTAAGTTTTAGATAAGATCTTAATTATTGCCACTTAAGGCATTTTTACCAGGAACTTATAAGTGTAACAAAATATATTTATGACGTGTTCAAAAGATCCTGCTGTAAAAATTTTAAAAGAAAAAATTGCTTTCAGGTCTTTGTCTGAAGCTATGTCAGTGGAAAAAATTGCTGCAATCAAAGCCAAAATTATGGCTAAGAAAAGATCTACTATCAAGACTGATTTAGATGATGATATAACTGCCCTCAAACAGAGGAGTTTTGTGGACGCTGAGGTGGATGTGACACGAGATATTGTCAGCAGAGAGAGAGTATGGAGGACACGAACAACTATCTTACAGAGCACAGGAAAGGTAATTAAAGTATTTCACTCATTCATTAGAGTGAGTGTGTGTGTATCTAATCTGTGATTGGTTATACAATTGGCTAAAATTTGCTATTAGGAGCAATTTTCAAGTTTTATCTTTGAAAGGTCAGTAATAATACAGGTTTCTAAGTAGTTTCTAAGTAGTAGTTCCATCGTAGTATATAAGAAAGTGATGAAATGTCTGAATCACAGTGCAAGTCCTTGATTTACTCCTCTATTGTAAATCTAAAGAATAGCCCAGTTTTCTTGTTGATCAGGTTTTTGGTTTACTCTAATGAACAGGGAATATTGATGGCCAGCTGTGTGGTCATTAAAATAATTATTGTTTTTCCCCACAAAGTAGAAACTTATGAGAATCAGCAGTCATTTATTTGTGTATTTTATACATATTCTGTTGTGTGGGTGTAGCGATATTTTTCTTTATTAATGGTTTTACGTGGTTTTATTTTGGTTTTTTGGTTCTAGGATTGTGGGATTCCCCCCGCCCCCCTTCTCCTTTCCTCCTTTGTCTCCTTCCATCTCATTTCATGATTACACATAATGCATTAAAAAAATCCTCGTACATATACCTTTATGCATTTATTTGTATACAGCAAAAGGATTAATTCCTAGAAGCAAATTTCTGGTTAACAGAGATGTATACTTTAAATTTTGAAAGATAAAAATTTGAGGGGCGCCTGGGTGGCTCAGTCGGTTGAACGTCCGAC